AACTTCTGCCATTGCACACTTCTTGTCGTGTCCTTCCTTTAGGGGCTCACACAAGGCGTTATTGGGCGGTGATCTCTCGGCCTGGGCTTCCGTTACAACATATACACTTATTTTGATGGTCATTAGCCTTCACTTTGGTCTAGATAGAAAGGCCTGAGATAGTTGTCAGGTTTTCTTGCCGTCCTACGTCGCCGGCTGGTCTTTGGTTGGTTCGCACGCGAGTTCTGCAAATCTCACCTGTTCTGGTGAGACGATTGGGTCATCATGTCGGCCACTTTACTAGAAGATGAGAAGAAAATCAAGCCGAGTGTCTTGATTTTGTCTGGCTAAAGTCTGGACTTCGAATTTAACCAAGTGCTAGACATTCCTGGGGACTGCACATAATCGGATTGTGGTTATAGGAAGTCTGCAAACTTCCAAATTTTATGCACACAAGACATTAATTTTCTTCCAGTGTATTTATGCATATCCCATAATATTCATATGCATTATCTTAGCCGATTTATGGGCGTAGAGTATTTCTTAGACTCCATTATGGGTCATAATTCAATTTTCGCACATTTCAGGACGTTTCTCTTAGGTTTTGAGTAGAGCTGAGTTCTTAATAACCGCTTGGAGTATCTGCACTGTGTTGGTCCTCTTGGCATTGTGGTCCAAGCCCAAGACCGAAAGATAGCTGTGATGAACAAATTTATTTAATGGTGGTTTGTTATCACTATGTTAATTGGTCTTCCCGAATTTTATAAGGAATTTGGCGTGCCATAATTTTCCCATTCATGGTCCACGACTGCTTATTCATCAGAGCAGAGAGCCTGCTTATTGACGTTGTTCAAACGCCATAAAGTATTTTTAAACCATGGGTTATCCAGGTCTGAGGTTTGGGTATCATCGATGAAAGAGAGTATTTTGTTTATTTGTTTTGTTTGCGCTACATGTCTGTAAGGGAAGATCTGATAAATTTTAGGGACAAAATAGAGCAAGCAATTTCCGTGATACAGTCATATTGATGGAGCTAACTTTTGATAATGTGTATATTTTGTAAACCAGAGATGCAGAGTTTAATGCATGGAGAAAACTTTTAGAAAAACCTATTGGTATTTTGCTAATCTACTGACTCATCAATACGATCACCTAGATTCGACTAATTTGTTGACAGGTATCTTGGGTTTACTGATCCGGTTAAAATTCTTACGTCCTTGCATTGCGACACTCAGATATACACATTCCATCACCCGTTGTTGTTGTCGGCCTACCGTGTCTGCAAGAGTCAAAAGTATTCTTATCCGATTTCATTCCGAAATTATGTGCAAATCTGCGACGTGTTATTTTAGAGCCGGCTAATACACTATTCTGGTAAAGGTGTGAGCCATTTTCACACCGCATTAGAGGGTTAACAAAGTATTCCGCAATACAAATGTCTACTGTAATAATTGGTATCAAACTCCACCCTATTTATTAAAATATTCGTTAGTTAGTCACGTCTAATAAATAACATCAGTCAGGATACTCTTCAAAGGAACGCGTGTATAAATACTATTATAATGCAGGTATCAAAATCGCCTGATAAAACTACATTAATTCTATGAATGGTTTACAGCTGAACGCCCCGAGCCATGGCCTGCAAAGGAGGGCGAAACTACCTCAAAGATCTGCGAAGTCTCTATGTCAATATAGGGGAATCAACCAATGAGCAAGCGAGCATTTCCTCCGTTTGTGCAGGCAAGCTTGAAGTCCTGCTCACTCCGAATGAGGGTCCTTACGCGCATGCAATGTTCACTCTAGAGGTAGGCCTTCAGTTCTCATTTCTAAGATTTGTTCAGTTGGCATGCCATAACCTAAATACTCTGCTTAGTCTGTCAAAATATATATTCAGTATTTTTCTAACCCTCTTCTCGGTTCAAGAAAAACTATGTATTTGGCCATGGTATTCGCTTCTCACTTACCGTGGGCCTTAATTTCTGCAGATCGGCTTACGTATATAACCCTTGGTATTCAAAACGCAAACAGCACTCCGAACACCTTCATGTGTTGCCTTTAATACTCTCTTTTGTTTAATCCGAGTGTGATGCTAACCCAGCCTTAAAACTGTAAAACCCTCCCTGTGGTTTATATAAATTGAAAATTTTTTTTCTGATCTTTCTCTCAGATATCCGCTTCTCAGGACTATCCCCGTACTCCCCCTTACATCCGCCTCCTTACACCCATTTTTCATCCCAACATTTGCGCATATGGGGGCCAAATTTGCATGAGCATGCTGGATGACTGGAACAGGTACGCTGTCTATTAAATGCTGGGGCAAGCACTTTATCTCCTTTCTGCCTTTAGTTGTTACAGTTTCCTCGACCTCATCAAGGCGGTCCTCTTTCTTCTCGCCAATCCAAACTTTGACAGCGCCAATAACTCCTTTGGTTCCTTATCCCCAGAGTACAGAAACAGATTCGATGAGGTGTGCAAGCAATTTCTTGCCGGATTTCCCATCAAAGGCGAGGTCTACCCGGCGAACGAGAAGTGGTGCGAGTGGGCCCGTGCAAACAATTGTTTTCCGGTGCCTAAGCGGGACCAGAGCGGCGATGAACCTCAAACTCCCACTCATTTGACTTCGGATGTGACTGAGGTAATTTATTTTCTTTATAACTAGTTTTGTGTTTTCTTAATGTTTTCTTTATTAAATCTGACAGTGGACTTGGGCTAGGCTAAAGTGCGTACATTACAGTTAGTCTATTACGATGCTTGTTCATAGAAAGGAACGCACAGTTGATGTGTCCTCGAAGAGTAGCTGTGAAGGAGGAAGTTCTTTGATGATCCCGATTCATCTAGACTGGAACTAGCCTTACCTCCTTCTCAGGATTTCACTTTGCTCAGAGTGCAAACCCTGTCTTCTCACGATTTTGGAGCACTATATGCCACTGCCATGTTGCCTGACTTTTCTGGGTGATTTGGAATCATGTGGGTTCAAGGTGGCTTCGGATAGGTTTACCGGACCGAGTTCCTTTTCAGGTTCATAAACATTTAGGAAGAGTTGTCTGTGCATTTAAAACTCTGTCTAATGCAGTACCTGAAGTCTTGTTTATGCAACTTTCTTGAATACTTTGTCATATCTTAAAGCCTAGCTGGATTTCGCTCGCGTTTGTGAGCTGATTTTGCATGTCGCCCTACCCTGTCCTACTTTATGTTGACTCTCGTGGCTTGCAAAAATTCAAAATAAAATCGTGCACTATGTTGGCAAATTATAAATGCCTGCGGAGTAAATAATTGTGGTATAAAGGTAATTAGGAGATACTGGGTTGTTTAAAATATACCAAATTTCACAGAAACCATCCACTCCATGCACGCATTTTCAGATCACACCTCCCGACCTTCTACCCACACCCCTGGATGGACAGTTGAAAGACAAAGTCGAAACAGAGCTGGATCTGACACCTGACCACAGCAGCTTTTCAATTCCTTCCACTTATGTTCCCTCTGTCGCGCATGTCCGCTACTCAATCGGTGCCGACTCTACTCCATTCGGCTCCATCTACAGATCTTGTGGCAGTCGGTCCTTGCAAACCTTGCGCATCCTCCTGCACCAACAAGAAAACCGCAGGCCCCGTATTTTCTATTTTACCGACTTCCTGGGTTGTCCATCGTGTCAGAACAACAGAGAACCAGTTTACTTTCCCCCTCAGGATGACCTGGAAACCCCTGAGAAGACCAGCTGTTTCATCGACTGGACTTTCTGTCCCCGTGACTTTTACTCAGGTGAAAGATATTCGAGCTACAGTTACACACCATCTCTCAGTTGTATATCTACCCTATTCCGTGAAGAGGAGGTTGCAACAAATGCATACGAACTGTTCCCCGGCTGTGGGAACTATGTGCTCTGCGCCCTGTTCGCTGAACCGCGCTCGAAGCTGAGGCAACTAGAGGAAGACCCATTAGATGGG